CTATACACAAAGCAGCTAATGAATGTATTACAGGAGATCATGCTGAATTTTCAGAAAAATTAGATTTTTATTGGGATTATGCTAAAGGTGAATCCATATGGCAGGACAATGAACAAGAAATACTCCAAAATTCTGACTCAGAAAAGGACGACATGAATCAAGAAGAATTAGAAATTTATGACTCAGAATATGAAGATTCAATTAATAATGAAGACATAATAGAGGAGATGTACTTTCAAACGCCACTGAAACGAAGAAAAAGAAAGTTTAAAAAAAGAAAAGTAACCTTTAAACCAAATTTACAGGAAATAAACACACCCATGCAATTCAACAACCCTACGGCAGTATCTACACCTTATTATAATTCAAATAATGAAACAGATTCTGAAGAGGAAATTATAGAAGTACAAGAAAAAGAAGATACAAAGAAAACATTTAATAAATCGAAAATTAAAACATCATTATCAAGTATTCCTCCAGAAATACCCATAAATTATTCCAAATTAAATGAAAGAAATTCTAATATAACGAGCAGCAGAGAAAACCTAACATATAATCGAAGTAATTATATTCATTTCTTGTCAGCAGATTGCGAATTCATTTCACCTATAAGTAGACTTTTAATAGATATAGGAGTAATAGATCCCGAAGAAATGAAATCTAAAAATCCTATTAAAGGACAAATATTTGTAACACCACGAGGAAAATACAAAATTTACACCTTAATAATAAAAGAAAATCATTTTGATCCTTTAATAAAAGAAGATATCATTGCAGGAATACGTAATTTAAAAGGTCTTCTTTACCACGAAAAAACAGAAGAAGTAAGAATATCTAGGCATGGAGACTTTACCGATGAATTACCTAGAGGAGAGTTAATACAAATTATCAATTCTATTTTTGAAAACAGTAATATTAAAATTACTATTTGTCATGGACAAGTTGTAGTACCTAAAGAAGAAATTAGAAACGATATTATCAGTGAATACCACAAAAGCAAAATAGCAGGACATAAAGGCATTACAAAAACATATAGAAGAATAAGAGAAAGATTTTATTGGCCTCGAATGAAAGATGAAATAACGGAATTTGTAAGAAAATGTATAACATGCCAATCTCAAAAACTTGTACGTATTAAAACCCGAGAACCAATGCTTATTACTGATACTCCTTTAGACGTTTTTGATAAAGTTTCTCTTGACACTGTAGGTAAATTACCAACAACCCCAGATGGAAATTGTCATATCCTAACTATGCAAGATCATTTATCTAAATACTGCATAGCTGTTGCAATACCTGATATTTCTGCAACCACAATCGCTCATACTGTTGCAAAAGAATTATTTTCAGTATATGGAGCACCAAAAGTAATATTAACTGACAAAGGCACCTCATTTATAGGAAAGTTAATGTCTAAATTATCAAAATTATTTGAAGTACAACAAGTCACGACATCAGGTTATAGGCCTCAAACAAATGGATCTTTAGAACGAAGTCACGCTGTTTTAGCAGATTATATAAAACAATATGCTAAAGATTATGATGATTGGGATAGATTACTTCCTTTTGCTATGTTTGCATATAATACTTCAGTACATGAAGCTACTAATTTCACTCCATATGAGTTAGTTTTCGGTAAAATAGCCCGTACTCCTAGCTCATTTCCTGAACAAGAAAAACTAGAAACATATGGCTCATACTTATCAGAATTAATAACCAGATTAAATGAAATTCGAATCTTAGCAGCAAATAATTTAATAAATGCTAAATTAAAATCAAAAGAAAATTACGATAAACTAATGAAACCATTTTTAGGAAAAGTAGGAGATAAAGCTTATGTAATAAAAGAAGGAATGAAAAGAAAATTCGATCCTTGTTATCATGGTCCATACAGAATTGTGGCTATATTGGATAAAAATAATGTAATATTAATAAATGAAGATGGACAAAGGTTTCAAAAACATGTAGATAAATTAAAAATTGCTTATGAATAGGTTAATAACATAATTTTCCTGTTTTAGATGACTGAATCATTCCTATTCACTGCACCTCTACAAGGAGAATTAATTGGAGCTTTCATTTTCCCAAAAGGGGATATTTCATCAATTGCTTACCCTAAGGGAATTCTTGAGGAACTAACTGCCGAATATAATCTTAATAAACCCATTTATATTATAGAACCGGGCACAGGCCCTTCATATAAAAAACCCTGGCAAGTTAGGTGTACTGTGACAGACTCTAAAAATAATAATACTTTCATTGTATTAGGGGACGGATGTTGCAAAGTTAGAGACTCTGAGCATTCAGCAGCTCGAAAGATTCTAGAACATTTAAATAAGATTTACTACTTTAGTGAAGAAGAAAAACCAAAAACGATCACCAATTCGACATATGTAATGTCAAGACAAGAACCAACAATAATAAAATTAAAATTATATAAGTGGGAAAATTGCTGCGAACTTTGTTATTCAAGGGGACATTTAAAAGAGCAATGTCACGGCGTAATACGAAACAAACGTTTTCTAAATAATATACAAAAACCAGACGAAAACAACTATGACGAAACTGATGATTTTTGGGAATTGCCATCCCCTACAAAAAGGCATTAAATAGTATTTAATAATATGACAATTAAACAATAATCACTTTGATTATTGTATATGTAATAATTCCATAATAGTCATATTATTTAATTATCCTTATTATATAATAATCTTATGTCTAATTACATTATCATTATTAAAAATGTATGTTATCATAATATTTTATTAATTACTGATTAACATTTTAATAATTATATCATTAAATAACTATATAATCATAATAATATTAATACATATTCAAAAAAAAAAAAAAAAAAAATTTTTTTTATTCATTATTTATATAAAATAAATTATAAATAATAATTATAATCATAAAATTAACAAAATATTTTGAAAATAAATAATTTATTGTACATAAGATAAAATAAATAATCAAAAAAAAAATAATTAAAAGAAAGACGAAGGAAAAGAAGGAAGGGGATTTGGCGGTCGCCTTCTTCCTTCCTCTTTATTTTAAAATTTTATTGTAAAAAAAAATATAACTAAAATAAAAAAAAAATTTTATTCCACAGATGGAGATTCCATTCCTAGGAATAATAAATGACGCCACAACATACATATCAATAGCATTTAAGCTATTAATATTCATTATATTAATAATAGTGCTGAAAAACCTATACTTTTGCTATAAGATTATAGCAATGAGAAGAAGAAGGAGAGAAAATCAACCAAACGCATAATAGACCAAGAAATATCAAACAATTTTGGCTTCAACACACATTGAGGACAATGTGAAATCTAAGGAGGGAAGACAGTTATCAAAATCAGAAAAATTTTGAAGAACTTAAGACAATAAAATAACAAGAACAATGTGAGGCATCCTTTATAGACGTAGAACGACGCAGCAAAGGCAACGTAAAACAGCCTTAAAGCTTACGCATCGATCACATACATCGACCGGAGAGTGAAGCTATTCTCCAAGTGCGCATGTTGCACAGCGATGGCCGCCTGCTGGATGCATGCAAACCTTTAACAACACTGCCAATACCTCCAGCTTCTATTTCACATACGCCTATATAACACTCATCATTGAATAGCGGTAAAATAATTTGAATTTAAAATTTACACTGCTATTAAATGATGAAGAATAAATCATATATATATTTTACCTATAATAAAATAATAAAAACAAAATCATTAATAAACTATACATATATCGTGCTTTATTATATTAACAATTGCAATTAATTAATAAATAAACAATAAAACAATGCAATTATGTATGAACATTTATATTGTTTATTATATGCGCTTGTTTGCATGAAAATATAACCAAGTAAATAAATAATAGAAGCATTATTAATTTTATTGTTTATTATGTTGAATTACATAATTAAAATATTACCATATTGTAATTAATAAAATAATAAATTTGGTAATTTAAAGTAAAAGTGACAGTAAAGATTAAGATAAATAATAATGAATTGTTATTAAATATTCAACATTAATATCAAAAAAATTAATAATAATAAACTAATTTTAGTTATCATATATATAACATTAGTTAACAAATTTATTTTAAAATAATTAAAACGCTTTAATTATAATAAAATTAAGTATAGCTTATTGAAATATACTAATATAAAAATTTTAAACTAATAAACAATTATAAATAAATGCAAAATAAAGGCTTCGAGTTGAGCCTTGAGTATCAGGCAAGCATGAGAATGGGGGAAGGTACTCGATGCGCGGAGGAGTGGCGAGGCCCACGCCTCCCGCGCGCTGGGTCCCACGCCTTCCTTCTCATGCCAAGCGACGGCCGAGTAGCTAGACTCGCCATCTTGTCGCACCGTGCATGGCTGCCATAGCGTACTCGCAGAAATTACCTCCGAGCGCATTCTTCTTCCCTAGTTCTAAATATGAATATTTCGCGTTGGATTCATCGATTTAATCAATAAATCGATGGCCCCAACACCTAACAATATTGTTTTTTTATCTATATATATGTATATATATCTAAAACTGTATGTAAAAAAAAAATTTTTTTTTAAAATTTAAAATAATTAAAATGATTAATAAAGTTTAAAAAAAAGGGATACATATATATATATATATGTGTATATATTAATAATTTATATAAGAAAATTTAAAAGCAAAAACAAAATAATCATGTAATTTATAATATTAATAATAAATCATATAAATTAAAGAAAGAATAATATTAAGCTTATTAAAAAAAAAAAAAAAGGGATACATTATATAAGGAAGACAAGGATGGTGAAATTAAAGTAAAATAAATTTTACAAAATTATTATAATATTTATTAAAAAAAACACTCTCTCATTCACACTACAAAAGGTAAACTCACACACACATTCAAAATATAAAAGGATACATAACAAAAAAATAAAAAAAAAAAGGGAAAAATACATAATAAAAAAAAAAAAAAAGGGAAAAAGAAGTATATGCACGTAAAATACTAATTAATAATTAAAAATTGAAAATTTATGGAGAACATTCTCCACACACGCATAACGTTATTGGCACCGATTCTTCATTTTCTTCTGCATTTGGCTTTAAACACCATACAGGACCAGGATTATGCTCCTCCGAATTAATTAGGGAATTCTCCCTAGAAGGACCAGGTCTAGGCTCTTGAATTGAATCGTCAAACGGCCTCCATAGTTTAGGAGCAGGCTCTCCAATGGCCAAAGGGTCTGGCCTCGAAGAAGGTCCAGGTTGCGGTTCAACAAGCCCTGATGGTGAACCTTCATTAATCCACACCATGGTCCGAGGCCAAACCCTTGATTGGGTTTGTACCGGAATCTCAATAATCTCTGACGATACTAGAACATACAACAAAATTTATACATATTAAAATATAATTTATATAAATATATATATATATATATATATATATATATATAAATAAAATAAAAAATTTTATACTCACGATTTTCCGATGAAACCCTGGGCTTATTTATTGGAGAAACCTGACATTCTCCACAAAAACATCCAACAGGACGACCCGGACGACTAAAAAAAAAAAATATATATAATAAATAAAAATATATATATATATCAATAAAATAAATAAATAAATAATAGAAGAATACATATATAATTACATGCATATTGATTAATTATGAACATAATAAACTGAAACAAAACAAATTTTACTTACAATAAAGAATTGAGCATGGCCGTCATCTGTCCAGAATTTTCCTTCAATTCACGTTTTAGCCCTTGGATGTGCCGCTGTCGGACTTTTGGACTGATGGTAATGTCCTTAATTACACCTTTGCGAGGACGACCAGGTCTGGATTGACCCTCTAACACCTCAATCTCCTCTGCGGCATAATATACGGAAGCCGCTAATCCTTGTAAAGATAGGAAGTAATACACCAAACTCGAGCTGCATTTTTTATCACCAGGCACTATAAAAGAAAGACAAACAATTTGAAATAAACTAATATAACTACATATATCAACACAACACTGTTTCCGCATTTACTCACTATTGACGGTTGTTGATTGTTTCTCCATGGTAAATGCAAGCAAACTGACAAGATCTTCGGACCTCCTGCATCTTAAAGGGATGAAAAGTGCTGATCTAAACAATTCTGATATACGCACACAACAAACAAGAGGTCATTAACTGTACCACGAAAGAAGAAATTCATACCTACCTCAAGAAGATAGCCATAACACTTTGAATACACAAACACGCATCACAACATTGTAAATTCATTTCGATGTCACATCATCATTTTTGTCTTCACATTAGCTACTACAGATAAATTCAAGGGATATCAATGTCACAATGAATGTAGGTCAGTAAGCGTAAGGACTATAAAAGATAGTCTCAATTTCAAAAATTCCAGTCTTATAATCATGTATTTGCGACAACTGGAAATAGTTTCATCGGGACGATGAAAAATCTAAGGGGGGGAGACTGTTACATCCCGGTAACAATTTTCCCTAATTTTCCTTAAAATTATCGTTAAAATAAGACATTTTTCTATGATAATTTTACAATACTTAAACTATATGTCTTATTTTAATGTATTTACTTATGTATATATTGCTAGGATAGAATGTGAAAACGAAATCGATATCAAAAGAGATATGACATTCGTTTTCACCATAAAAGTTCAGAAAGTTGAAAAGCTAAAAATAGGATATATGTAAGCAAAATGTGAAGCAAGTTCGAGCTTGTTGTTTATGCGCGTGAAGAATGCGAAGGTTGTGAAGATCCAAGTGTAATATGATCTTCAAAAGCCCATTGTCAGCAAATAAAAGAGAGAATTCAGAAAGAAGAAAATTCAATGTCATACATGCGATGTAGATCATTACCATATAAGGAAAGTGATTCTATTTATAGATCACCCCTTCCCCAATAATATGACATTTCTCCCACTAATTAGCATAATCGAACTAGTATATAAACAAGAGCTTTTTCCATAAAGCTTGTCAAAAGTTCCGGTGCAATCTCTAACATCGTAGAGCGACCCTTCAGTTTACTTTCGCCCTAATTATTGTATTCTTTCCTGATAGCCAATAGGTGCAAGTTAATTTGACTTTTCACTTAGAACATAGTTCTTTCCTGATAGCCAATAGGTGCAAGAGAAGCAAATTAACACTTAGAATCAATAATTTAATAGAAATAACTGTCGTATTTATAACTATAAATACTAAAGAAATCTTGCATTATCTCTTTTTCTAAATTTGTCAATTTAGTGTATGTTGCTTCTCTTACACCTGCTATAAAATTCATTCCTGTCAAAGGTGCGAGTGACGAGAAATAACAATAAAGAACATTGCAATTCTTTAAATAGTTATAAAACAATTTAAGTCGTTAAAGTTACACAAGTGCAACCAAAACGAACTATTTCAAATCAAATCAAAACCAATTATAACGACTAAGCTATAATCATCGATTTATCCGACTTCATTGCTAAAAGTAAGTAAAAGAATTGTAAACTTGTATCATTATTGTATAATCATTACTATATAATTATTATTTAATCAATAAATGTTATAAAAGGGAATATTTGACTTGTTATTGTAACGCAAAACCCGTAGTTTTGACAAGTGACCACGATCCTACATAAAAATAAATATCAGGCTTTACCAACCTGATTAATCAGCCTTATTACATTCAAGTAAATAAAATTCATTTTATTTAAAAACCACGCCTAGTTCGGAACGTAACAGACATATGTGACCTGGACAGTTAAAAGGGACAAAAATTGATTTTTTATTGATTGGTGATTCTGATAGAAAAAAATTTTCTCTATCAGAATTACCAATCAATAAAAAATCAATTTTTTCGAACGTAAGTTCCCTTTTAACTATCCAGGTCACATATATTTATAAGTGTAAAAATATTAAACATATATTTATAGAATTAAATTTTTTTCTATTTTTTTAATTTTAAAGCTAAAATCTTTTTAATAAAATGTGTAGAAATAAAAGAGATAGTGTAGAAAAACGATAGATTTCATAAAAAAAAGTTAAAAATTGAATCCACACTACTTTCTTTATTTTTTTTCTTTTTTGTTTAAGATTAATATAATATAAAACTTATATATAATACTTACAAATCTCTAAGCTCGTTGTAAACTTCTCTCGGGGGGTCAGCACGTCTCGTAATACTATTGAACAATTCGTTTCGAAAGGAAAGTTCACTTTGGATCCTTGAATTTGGTTCATGTGTGTGCTCAGTTGTTAAACAAAAATTTCCATTGCGTCTAATTACACCCCGTCCAGGGCATATCAAATTTCGATTAAACTTGCAATTCACGTATCTAAAATTTTTAATTTTTTTTATATTCATATAAGAAATTCTGGATAATCATTAAAAAAAGTAAAAAAAAATATTGCCAATAAAAAAGTCTAAATTGTGAATGCAGTTCAATATTTACGAGAAAAATGTAATTAAATTTTGATTGATTATTTTCTTTTCTTTTTTGAAAATTCAATTTTTTTTAAATCTATAGGGAAGATTCTTATGACTCCTTAAAAATGCGTAGGAAAAAATTGACAACGGAAAAAAATAAAAATTATGTCTGTTTTTTAAAAGCCAAATGATATTATTTAAAACTTAGTATGTGTAATAAAAGAAATAATTTCTTTTAAAAAAATTAGTAGAATTTCTTTTAAAAAGTAAAGAGTATGATTTAATCTATAGATTTATGTAAAATTAATGCAAGGAATATTTTCTTTCTATAAAAAAAATTAAATGTATTACTTAAAAATTTATTTTTGGTAAAAAAATGTATTTTTGGATTTGTGAAATTCATTCATTAAGCAAATTAATAGGTGTTTTGTCTACTTTTTGAACTAAAATTACTAAGCAGTAAAAGAGTTCAAATTTATTTAGTAAAAACTACTATTTTAATTAATAAACGTTAGTAAATGAATAACTAGTTTTCTGAAAACAATTTTGAGTTTTTGACTAAAAACCTTAACTTTCATATTTAATTATAAATATTTCATTAAAACAATAATTTATTTCTGGTTGATACGATAATTCAAGAGTAGATAATTTAAAAGTAAATATGAAAAAAATCATTTTTAGATGACTTTGTCTTCCGTGTGAAAGAGGAATTTTGAAAATATTCAATTTTCAATTGTTTTCTATCAAAATCTAATTTGAAAACATATCTTTAAAATTTATTTATATTATTAATTAATAAAATTAACAGAATCAAAATTTAATAATTTTTTGTATTAAAAAAATAATCTTAGGAAGAAGAAATGTAAATGTTTAAGTAAAATTTAAAAAAATTAATTACTTACATTACTCCTGACTTCATTTTACTTTTATTATACAAGTGCCCAGCAATCAAATATAAAGTTTTGTTTGGCCTTACATTGAGCGTTTGAACTCGATGTAATCTAGAAATTGATTAATTATACATATATTTAGAAAAAAATGAGATATTGTTAGAAAAAAATATGAATTATAATAAAAGAAAAATTTTGTAAATAAAAATTTTTATATTTTAGTAAAATAATTAACCTATTAATTTATTGTTAGACATTTTCAAATTTACATATACCCACTTCCAAAGACAGATGGAGAAAAAGAGAGAATTTTCTTAAGAAAGATATGTACATGCACATAAATAGATGGGTAATAACATGGATCATTAGGCTAGGATCATACAATCTTTTGACATTCGTAACTTTAAGTCCTACTACATGTTTGTCAACAATAAAATGGTTGGACAATTTTGACTTACTTCTATAACGTATCTGGCGGATTTCACGTAAACTGATAAAAAGGATAAAAATGATTTTTTCTATAATTATTTTTTTCTTAAATATTAAAATAAATTTTTTTATTAATATCATTGTCGATAGCATTTTTAATTCTCTTGTTTTCTTATTGTTGAATTTCATTTTTGTTAATCAACAATTTTTTTAAATGCATATTATCAATGCAAAACGCATAAAAAAAACTATCGAAATAGTTATTAATAACAATTTTTTTATTTTAATAATTAAGAGGAAAAAATTATTAAAATATACGGTGTGCCATAAAACCACAAAACTTCTATCCTAGTGGAATATATTGAACGAAAAGTAAAACTTCTTTAGTTTGTTTAATTTTAAAATGTGATAACGTTCTAAAAAAATTAGTTACCTGCTAAAGTAAATAACCCTAATATAAACACCCTTTCACTTCAACAATAGCAAAAAGGTGTTAAACCCTTGTACATTATTATATGGTGATTTATGGATATAATTGAGCGTGTCAATGTAATAATCGGATGAGCGCTCGGACGCACGCTCTGATGATAGTCGGGTAGCAGTGAACGACAATAACTATCACACTGCTATCCGACTACCATTAGAGCGTGCGTCAAAACGTTCGTCAGAATTATTGTATTGACACGCTTAATTATATTATATGGGGATTATAAAGGAATTTAAGAAATCATTAAAAATAATATTAGTGTTAAATCTTTTTATTATTATAAATGCAATTATGAAAAATAGAAAATTTGAGGTTAAAAAATCTAACAATAAGTGTTATTATTTTTAAAGTTTTATATGTCATATAAAATTAAAAATATAAAAATTAAATTTATTAATTAATAAATAAATGAATAAATAATTACGCTAAATTGTCGGCTTCGTTGTCCATTTTAAATAAGAAATCGTTACAGTGTTGTCGGTACGGTACTTCCTTCTCAGGAGAAGGCCAAACGGCAAGAGACTCTTCTCAATTGTATTAATCCCCTCTGTTGCCGTTATTTTACTACAGTGAACACAGATGTGGCAACGTTGCATTTAGTTCTGAACGCACTGGCGCTACGGTAACTGAAGACCTATCATTTATTTTTCAGCCTTCAGACTGGTAACATCACAGGCCTAATAGAGCTTCTACAATAGGTCCGAGAGGCAAGTGCAAGTCCGAGTGGCTCGGACTTTGTTGCGCGCGCATCGTGTTGACTTTTAATTTTGTAAGATATTTGATAATAAATAGTAATTAATTATTAAATTATGAGTTATTAATTAATAATTTAACAATTAATTAATTAATAATGAGTAATTACCATCAATTATCTTAAAAAAATAAAAATTACACGATGCGCGCGCAACAAAGTCCGAGCCACTCGGACTTGTACTTGCACTTTACTTTAGGACCTATTGTAGAAGCTCTATAAGCAGAATGGAAATGGAGTTTGAAACAAGAAATGAGAAAAAAAGGACCGCTCATTTTTTGTTTCCTTTTCTGTTTTTATTTTGCTTTAACATTACCACTTTTTCTTACTACTGCCACCTGTTCATTAAATTTAAAACTGTTATATTACCTCTCAAAATAGATTCATCAATTCTTGATACATGTAAATTAATTCAATATCTAATCAAACATTGTTGTTTTATTTGCAGAATTAAAAATTTCGAAACATGGAAGACAAATTGCTGATATTTAAAGAAAATGTTTGGGATGACTTTAATTATAGTTTATCACATCGCAAGGGAAATGTTGCGTAAGTTTTTATTATTATTCTTATTAGTTTTATTTTTCACTTTCACTTTTTGACCAATTTTCATTAAATTTTTGTAGGCTTATTTATAGTCAACATTTAAATATGAATATATGTAAATGCAATATTTAAAGTCAGGCACAAAGATTTTTAAATATATCCTTACCATTTTTTCAACACTTTCATCGAAATTTACAAAATGCATCTTGTGACAAATAATTTTTTTCTTCTGCAAATTTGTTTTAATTCAAAAATGTATTTCCTGAAATGAACACAATTTTAACTTGTTTATTATTATCAACACATTGTAATATTTCCTTCTGTTTTAAATGTGTACAAACATTACTATTTCTCAATGCTTCCACAGGCAGGAATATAATATTATGTAATAATTAATCCATTTTGCAATATTGTCATTTTTAGTTATTACGTTTGCAGCCAAAGTAAACAGGGTATTTGTCGTGGCAGAGGGATTTTAAAAAATGACACATTTACGCTTCGTCAACCACATACTCACAAACCCAATATTATTAAATTGAGGGAATATGCGTTTAAACGAGATTTGTGTCGGGCAGTAGTAAGCAACAAATTGGAAAAATTTAAAAAAATTTATGATACAGTTCGCTTGAAGTGAGTATAATATTTTTCTTAGTTTTAATCTTAATTTATCTGTACAGAAAATTGTAATCTTGTATTTAAGAGGAACTTCCTGAAATTTACTAAATTTGTCTATTTGGAAGACAATTTAGACAATTTAAACAATTTTAATATTTAATTAGAACTGTTCATGTAATTGAAGATTAACTCTTTATTTCGGATAAATATTTTTTTTCGTTCTGTGTAGAAAAGGAAAGTGTGAGTATTTCTTCATTGCTTTATATGTGTCCAAATTTTACAAACATGATTTTTCAAAATTTTATTTTTTTAAATGTACCATTTTTCAATGGCATAAAATTTGAAAGTATTGAATTTAAACATTATTTTTTAAAAATAATTTATGTATAAAAAATTTTATTTTTTAAATAAGAATTCGAAAAAAAAAATTTCGTCTCCATTACAAATTAAAAAATACGTATACCTGTTTTTTAAAGAACGAAAAAAATATGTTTGACGTTTAATTGGTAATCTTAAATTTGACGTGACATCGACCATAAATATATGAAGCAAAATTTCTTATGTGATCTATTTTTAAAAAAAATTTCTTTCATCGGACAGCAATTGGTAGAAAATAAAGTTAAATACTTCACCCATACATTATTATTAATTTTTATAAAAAACTGTAAAGGGGGGAGAAGATTAAAATTTTGGTGAAATATGAACAGTGGATTTTTTGAAAAATCATACCTATTTTACAAAAGGTTAAAAAATCTGTTGACCTGAATGATTTCGAAAGGCTTTTTTTTACTCTTTTGAACGGTACAAAATTTTTTTAAAAAATTAAAAATTTACCACTTTGAAAATCAAAAATATGTTTGACTTTTTTTAAATGAAGGACCTTTTTTATTTCCTTTCTTTACCTCTTAAATGAAGCTTAAAATGTATGCTTTAAATAAACAAACTAAACAAAATGTTTTTTTTTTTTAAGATTAATTAATTAAATAATGTCAAAAAAGTAAAATATTTTACAAACAAATAAAATTATTGTAATTCTAAACATACCAATTTAAAGTTAACGTATAATTCTGCATCCAACGAGCTCTATATAAAGTATTTTGGATAAGTAGATTGTTAATAAACAATTGCAATGCTAACTAATTGTTTATTAAAAATCCACTCATTCAAAATACTGTTTAATTTGTTTATTAAAAGCATACATTTTAAACTTCATTTTAAGGTCAAAAAAAAAAAATAAAAATGGTCGTTTATTAAAAAAAAATCAAAAATATTTTTGATTTTCAAAAAAGGGATAAATTTTAAACTTTTATAAAAAATTTTGAACCATTCGAAAGAGAAGGAAAAAACCTTTCGAAATCATATAGGTATAAATTTGTTTCATTCTTTTATACAATAGTTATGATTTTAAAAAAAATGCAATGCTCACATTTTGACTATTGGATCTTTTCAGAAATTTTTCCTCATATATAAACTTTATAAATTTATTTATTTATTATACCGATAGATTTTGACAAAATTTGAGCATTATTAAATAATTTCTTTTATACTATTTATCAAATTCTATCTTTGTCACTTTTAGGGTACGGTCACACGACTTTTGGAAAAACCATTCTTGTCTTTCTCTCTCCTATTACAGACGCATAAGTTTGTCTCACTCTGCATTTTCCGTCTTTGGGAAATGTAAGAAAATGCAGAGTGAGACAATCTTATGCCTCTGTCTTAGGAGAGAGAAAGACAAGAATGGTTTTTCCAAAAGTCGTATGACCGTACCTTTAGTCATCCAGATGCTTCAAAAACAGTTACGTTTTCTGCAATCGAAAATGCGATGTTTAAATGGCGTCAGAAGGTTTTACCGTTATCAGTGAACTCGCTATCTTCTTATGTAATATTAATAAATTCTAACAATTGGAAGCACTTACTGAACTACAGAACTGGAATAATGAATATTTCGCTTGTAGTCGCTGATGACTCTTCTCACTCAGTGCTTTTCATTGATCCGCATTTCGTTCGGGAAGTATCAGTGAAGGGAAGTTTTTATTTAGATGCAACATTCAAGGTTGTTCCAAAAAACTGTGGAGCAGAACAGTTTTTAACAATACTGTCTAGGAAATATAATACAGTAAGTTATCAGATTTATAGATTTTATATTTGTTATATAACAATTGTTATAATACATAAAATAACCCAATAAACTATTATTCCATAAAAGTCGTAAGTACTGATAATTACAGATCTTCATTTGTAAACTATTGAGGTCACGCTATTTTATTATAGGTAAATAAAAATGAGTAGATTCTTGAAGAAACTGTTCAGCAGAAATTAGTAATTTAAAAAAAATAAATTTTTAAGTTTTCTTTAAATTGTTAGTAATTGAAGGTACTTCGTTTAACAGAATTTTGATTATGTGGAAAAGTAATTAGTACTAATTTGTATTTTCTTATTTAAGAGAAAATTTAGTTTTTTATAAACATGATTTTTTCTTTGATATAAAGTTTTTCAGAAAATTAATTTTTGCGCATATTTAACTACGATATTGGCGATTCAAACAGCTACACTAGCGCCACAGTTGAACTAATTTAGGCGTGACTCGCTCTGTAGCACTCCATGTGTTTTAAATTATTTTTTTTTATTTAACGCTTAAAAATTATTTTACAAACGCAATAAAAATATCAGAATAATTAAATAATTTGAAATAAACTGTCACAACAGAGACTGCTTTAGAGCGAGTCACGCCTAAGTTAGTTCAACTGTGGCGCTAGTGTAGCTGTTTGAATCGCCAATAAGCTCATAAGTAGAAATAACGGTTTCCGATTTAATACATTTTTCAATTCTAGTTAATAAAAAAATTTTGGTTTCTTTGCTCGAAATTTTGATTTTTTCAAAAAACGGTTTCTGGTCAGCGTGTTTTTAGAACAATCAATAGTTTCTGATTTACGATACTTTACAAGTGTAGTAAAACAATGTTATTTCCGGGATTTTAAGTTTTTTCAAAAATATTTTTTTGTACAAAAGAATACAAATCGAGAAGAATTATGTAATTTTTTTTAAATTTTACACTTCTGGTCTAACTTTCTGGACATAAATTCCATTGTGCATCTTTTTCTTAATAGAAAAATTTCCTTCTCTTATTGTTCTCGAAATAATGAACACATTGCTTTTTTCAAAACGTAAAATTTAATTGCATTTTACACAACATAGTTTGACAAGTGAATTATGAGCAATAACAAATTTTTAATAAAAAAGTTTTTTATTAAGGACTAAGAAATTTTTTTGGAAAGTAACAATTACAAAAAAAGTATATGTGATTTCACTTATACTGATTGCTTAAAGCTGCTAGCAGCTGATCGTTTAGTGCGCGTTATCTGTCCTGATGATAAACTCAACAGGACATTTTAATGATTTTTATCAATGTAATTATGTCAACAAATAATTAAATTTCGTTTGTTATTAAATACTGTAATTATTATTATTAACAACAAACAAATAATAACGATATTATAAATATGGGGAAATTGTATGTATCAACAATCATAGGGATTATGTTGTTCGTTTATCTCGATTGTAGAGCTTCTTGTAATTTTATATTCAAGAATTCCATGAAATTAACAGGATGTCCTGATTCAAATTAACAACATTTTTAGGAAATAGGAAACATTGATGGAAAAAAATTATGAACTGACAATTCTGGAAAATGTAAAATTCGATAAAATCTTGATTAAATGAAAATTTGACGAATTAAAAATGAAAGTCTAAACAGATTAAATTAAAATTCTGTTAAATGAAAATTTTTGATTGAAAAATAAGTTAATTTTATGAAAATTCGATGTAATACAAATTTTGTTAAGTAGCAACTGGTGGAAATGGAAAACTTGATTGTATGCGAATATTTTGTTAAATTAAAGTTTGCCGAGAAAAATTTCTGTAATATATAATATACAACCCTGCAATTGCTATAAATAATGAAACTATTTGAAAATATTACATTTTTCAGGGTATTCCGTGTATATGGGCTCTAATGGAAAAAAAGAACACGGCTGCATACAAATCAATTTTTTTAGCAATTAAAGGTCTCATTCCAGAATTTGAGATTGAGGAGGCTCATATTGATTACGAAAAAGCCTTAAAAAATGCTTTAGTACAAGTATTTCCAAATATAAATGTACATGGGTGCTTTTTCCACCATAAGCAAGTAAGTTAAAAAAATTGTAACTGATGGGTGAGACTGTCAGAAAATAAGCGATTTGTAAGTGGTCTTTTTTAAAGATAGCGTGTGAGTCTGTGGTGTCTGCGCTTGTGCGTGTAACTCTGAACGGCACGGCGCTACCGCTAAAATGGTGAGCGCCTTCACAAAAATTGCAATATCTCTGAAACTAATCAAGTCATTTTCTTTTTTTAAATGTAAGGTAAAATCCTAAGGAATCGTTACATGTAAGTTAAAAATTTTTTAAATCAGTCCAAATCAACTAAAAATTAGTTCAAATTTTTTTTTAAATTTTTTGGGTGAAATTTTTTTTATATAATATTAAATTAAACTACTTATATTTAGGTATATTGTCTGTAATTTTTATTAAAATCCGTTTGGCAGTTTCGGAAGTATAGGATAAAATAATGCAATGATTTTCAAAATGGCGTAGAGGGCATAATTTTGAAAAATCTTTTGGGGCTTTAAACTATCTCATCTAAGACTATTAATTCCCCAGTTTCAGAGAAATCGGAAGACCACTTAGAAATCGCTTATTTTCTGACGGAGTCTCACCCTGTCATGGAAATTCGATTCAGTATAAGTAAAGTAAATAAATGAAATGCTGCTAAATAGAAATTTGATAATTTGGAATTTAACGTTACAAAAATTCTTATAAGTTTAGTTCAATCAAATTGGTCGAATATGCTTTACACAAACTTGCCATGCATACTTGCACAAATAAAACATTCAGTTACTTGGCACAAGCTTACATTGCAAAGTTACTGCAAGTATATTGTAAGTTTTTATGCTGATTAAGTAATTGAATGGTACGTTTTCTGTGATTCTTGTTATTATGACAGACTATAATAGAAAACGTAATTAATATTATTAGATATGTTAAATAGTAAATTATTATATTTTACTTTTTCTATATGCTTAAGGTATCACATCGGCACTAATCGGAGTCAAAAGTTTGTAGCTCGCATTACTACTTCCCGCACTATACTTTCGCCCTCAACTCCCTATACTCTCAGCCTATACTGTACCTACTTCTACAAATACACTCGTACACGTATACCCCACACTAGCAGCGATTGGAAGGAATAGGAGGTTTGACAACGTCGCTATATGTCTCGCTTTGACTACTGTGGACTACTGTCTCTCTCTAACTAATGTTACCATCCTGCGATGTTGCCACATCAAAGTGGCGGGTGTGCTATATATTGCAAATGACGTCATGAAATAGAATTTTTAATTTATAATTACAAATAAACGGCACGGTAAATTATAAATTTCTTTGTATATTTTAGTTCCAAATTTATTCGTGAATTCAACATTAGTTTTTGAAAAAAATTTATAGAAAACTTCTGATGATATTTATGAAAATGTACTTCTCCCCCATACATTAGTCCCGTCTCCCATGCAAAATAAGCAACTTTGATTGCTAATATCTCTGGTTTCGTACGGCGAAAATTCTTCATATTTTGCAAATTTGTCAAGAATGATAATAAGAACATATGGTAAAATTTTCAAGAAAATTTATAGAAAACGGTTTTACCGATGTGATACCTTAATGAAAAAAATTAGGAATGATTTACACTATAATTTATAACAATTAATTAAAGTTTTTATTTTCCCGTAATTTTATGAATCTTTATATTACTAACGTTGAATTTTCTTACCGATAAGCTTCTTGTTTTCAATTTTAATTAAATCATTAAATAATTTTAAGGATTTGATATAACTTATTAACGTTTCTTTATTCGATATCTTTCTTCAAAGATGAGAAATAAAATTTGTAAATATAAATGGGAGATTCTCGACGTAGCACACAATTTAGTAGTGGGTCGGAAAAAATATTCAGAATTTTATGCCTACTGAAAAACACTCGCGTTTTAATGAAAAAGGCCGTACCATGACGCATAAGAAAAACTAATTTTTCAAACAATTAATTAACGATTTTCGTTCTATTTCATATTCATGTCCATTTATTTTTACTGAACTAATATTACTACTATTTATTCCTAAGGCTTTATTTAGATATGCTCTCAAACTGAGATTAAAAAGGACTTTGCAGTTAAACGAAGATGCTCGACATTTATTGAATCTAATTATGTCCTTGCCTCTTTTACCTGCGGATATTATCAGGATCACCTACCAAGAAATTCGTGATTCCTCATCTTTACGTCTGAAACGAATATTTGCATCGTTTTTCAAATATTACGAAAAAGAATGGCTTTTAAAAGCAACGCCACAATTTTTTAGTATATTTATGCTAAATAATCGAACTAACAATTCCCTTGAAGCGTACTATAAAGTGTTAAAAGAAAAATGTGGCATTCATTCGACTATGTGGGCTTTCAGTGGTAAGTTTATGTATATTATTGACCAAGTAAAATAGTCTGCAAAATGTCTGCGAACTTTTTGCAGAATGTCAGGGGATTTCTGTCTGCAGACATTCTGCAAAAAGTCTGATCATTCAAAAAGTATGAAAAAACTTATTACTTATTACTTATACAAATATATATATATATATGTCTAAAATGTTTCAGAAAATTTAATTCATGTACAAGAAAATTACAAAATGGATCTAAAATCATTACAATTGGGGAAGACAGTGCGCAGACTTTCAAAAACCAAAACTAAAATGAACCAAAAATTATTACAGAATGCGTGGATAATTTTTAACCAACCAAACGGTTTTACGCCAATAGAATTTTTAAAACATGTTTTAACTTTCCAATCAAATATTGTCGATGCATATTTAGCACTTTATTCTAATGAATAATCTTTTTTATAACGCACTTTTAGAGATTCACGATATATATCATATAAATTTCAGTTTAAGAAATTTTTAATTTAAAAATTTTCTTCACACTACTTTTCAACACTTTCAGTTTCATAAGAACTTTATTTATAAACGTATAATTTTCCGTTCTTTAAAACAAAACACGAAAAATAAAGATAATTCTCGACAAATTTTTATATTATTCAGTTTGTACTATCACTTGAGTCAAACAATTGATTTGTAATGGCAGTCTTTTGGAGTACACTAAGGTAGTGTATTTTTACTGTATTTATTTATTAATTTGTTTAACTATTATTTTTTTTATCACTTTCTTGTCATCCATTTTTAGAAAATAATTTAACTTTAGGGTCTTGCATATAATAATATATCAAACTATATTTACCCTCATTTCAATTCCCCTTTCTTCTTTTCATATCACACACTTTTCCATATTTCTGTGCCATTTTTTATCTTAAATAGTTTTAAAGAACTGTGATCCCTGTATTTACCTACCACTTTAAAATTTGGTCATTTTGTATTCTTTGTTATTTATAAACTACTGATTATTTTAAATTTATAAAAAAGAATCGTTTTATTTTATTTATAGGAAATGTACAAGCTGATAATTTTGTTAAATTTGGACACACAGTTTTTATCGACGAATGAAATTGAAGTCAAAACATTTCTCATGCGAATTTTAACGTTACCTCTCTTGCCACCAGAGAAAATTGAAAGTGCCTTTAATAATTTAAAAAGAAATTTAAGCGACGAATGTTTTCAATCTATTCTTTTATTCGCATTAACTTTCGATCGTGAATGGATTAGAAGAGTTACCCCCAAAAGATTCTCAGTGTACAGGGACTTGCAGCGTATATCACGAATTTTTGAATTGTATTCTTGCCGCTTACATACACTTATGGGATCATTCCCTACACCATGGGATTTCGTGAGTAAGTAAAATATTCAGGTCAATTATCGCAATAATTTTAAACAAATTTTTGTACTTACCTCAAAATTTTTATTTTAAACTAAAGTCCTAAAAATTAGTTATAATTCGACATCTAAAGAAATTTAATAATAAAAAAACATAAATAAAATGGATAAAATAAGCTTAATAATTATTAATCGATCACAATATTTTAATTTAATTTAATTATTTGATTGTTGGACATTCCCACGTGAACAATTGAATTTTTGTCCGTGTGTTACCAAAAATTTCAATTAATAAATAATAATTATAATAATAATAATTTATTCCAGCCTTTTAGCTCAAAAAACGGACTTGGTTTACATAAAAAATTTCATTTAAAAATCGCTTAAAGTTCAATTAATTTCAAAAATCTAAATTGTAATTTTTTTAAAAATTCAATTACTTTTAAAAAATATTATATAAAATTATTTGATAAATTTTTTTCAATTCAGCAAAATTTAATTATTTTGTGAACTTCAACAAAATAATTTGAAATTCAATTATTATTAAAACTTTCAACTGTAAATCCTTCAAAATTCATTTATTTTTAATAATTTTAATGTTGTGAAATGTTTTTTACAATTTTATTTTTAATATTTACAGAGGGAATTGTCGTTTTGCAAAAACAAAGCTATGCAGATTATTTAAAACTGGTAGACAACATCACTGCGGATATTAAAAGTAGAAAAATCTGTAATCGATTATTGGACACATCATTAAAGAGAGCATGGAATTCATTAGAGGATGAGACAATTTCTGTAGAAGAATTTTTGGAAATTTGCAGCAATACAAATTCAGAACGTAGAATGGAATTTATAACTGCGCAAATTAATGAACCCAGTGAAGAGGGTAATTTGATATTAATTGATGATAGTAAGTAACACTTAATATTATATTAAAAATTTTGAAATCCCCTTGAATTGAATTAAATTAATTGAATGGCAGATTTTATTTAAAAAAAATGTATTTTCTTATTTTTCATGTATATGTTTCAAGATAAAAATGTATGAAAAATCACTCTTTCCTTAAATAAAATTGAGCAATTATGCGACCGTGATTCTTGATCAAGATTCATGATATGATTAAATTGTCTATAATATAAATTCACAAATTTTATTAATTTTATGATAATTTCTACTAAAAAAAATTTAATTACTAAGGTCTTATTTTTTTTTAAAAAAAAAAAAGATTATGCTGCAGTCTATCCATCCACAATTGTAGCTGCTGAAGATGATGGAGACGACATGTCGGAGGAAGAAAATAATGTTGGTACGTATTAATAATTTTTTTTAATTCTTAAGTTCACTTTTAATTGAATTTTAATATTTAATTTAATTGCTTTGTCTAAAAAAATAGTTAAAAAATGATTTAAAAAATATTTTCAGATTCCTTGGAAAGTAACAGCAGTGAAATTGCTGAAGGTAATGACAAATTTTAACTTTTCCAATTTACAAATATTTTTTATTTTTGTTTCTTGTATTATAATTCAAAACAGAAAAAATATAATTAAGAACTTTTAATTATTTTTTTTCTTTATTTTTTAGATCCTTTGGAAATTAATATCAACGAAAATGATGCAGGTAATGAAAAATTAAAGCTACCCTCAATTGAGGCCTCGGGAAGAAGAACTCACCGAGCGCTCCGACACATGCTCCAATGCCAGTCAGAGGTACACTGAGAGAAGTTAAACACAGATTTCGTACTAAACACACGTTCAGATAGTGTACCTAACCTTTCGAGCAACATCGGTTCTAAATTGTATCGCAGCTGCGCTTTTTGGTGGACAGATACTGTACTAAATCGTTTGTCCCACAAGTTAGGTCAGAATCAGTACTCAATTGGCGCTGCTGCTGTTCGATTTTAGTAAGGCGTTGTCCGCAGTGGCGAGACAGCCGGTGTCGCGAGACATTAGGATATTTCAGACAGCTGAACTGACTGTGCTGGCACTTCTGGTCTGAAAGTCAAGTTTTATTGTGCTTTAACTTTTCAATATGATATATACGTTTTTGATGTACGAAATATCGCTATACTGTTAATAACAGTTTCAAGATATTTTAAAAGTTTTATTTCCCATCGGTATAAGTGATAATATATAAAAATTTCCGGAATTTTCTGAAGGGTTAAATGTTTTGAGTCTTTAGTATTTAAGTTTCCTTCAAAATTTCCAGAGCACTATGAATTATTGTTCAATGCATAGGATTGTACATCGTCATTACCGAAAAATGCTGTTTCCGCATTGGCGAGACACTTGTTGTCGGCAGTGGCTTTTTTAATCTAATAATATTGTACATGTCCTAATGAATTTGATATAATTTTTGTACGTTTTGTCGACAATATTTTTCATAACTATAGTTTAAATTGAAAAAGATGAACAGGAAGAAAAGCTTATATGTTTTTAATAACTGTGACATGGATTAGCGGCTCACAATGAGAAAAATATTTGCCTGTATTTTTATGATTGAATGAAACAATATTATGATTTAAAGGCATCAATTATTATACTCTTTCTCTTTGATTCCTTTGTTTTTGTGACGTTTGAACGATGAAGACTCTGATTTTAAGATTGTGTCTCGCCACTACGGACGATTTTTTATGTCGGTAGTCGCGAGACATTATCGTAAATCGGCAATAACTTTTTTTTCCAATATCTGTTCTGTAACTGCATAACTTAAATTTGCAGTATAGAGTCACACCTATCCATGGATATATATACAGACTTGATGATCTTGAAAATGTGAGTGCTATAACAAAAAAACAAAACGTGTCTCGCCACTACCGACTCTCCCTTACTGCGTCTGTACATAATTGTGGTACAATATCTGTCCCTCAAAAAATGCAGATGTTGCGTTAAACTTCTCTCAGTGTATAAAATAGTGAAAAAAATTTAAATTAAAAATTTTGATTTTTAAAACCTACTACCTTATAAAAAATTAAAAGGCGCATCTTTTTTTCCTCTTATTTTTTTTGTACAACGTATATTTTAGTTAATAATTAAGAAAAACCGACGAATTAAAATTCTCAAAATTTATTGAATTTTAAAACATAAATTGTTGTATCTTTGTTAAATATTGTTCAATTTAATTTATATTTGGTATACACACGCCTTTAGATCCACTGAAGACGAAAATATAATGAAAAATAAAAAATATTATAATTATTTTATGATAATTAATTTTAAAAAGAGAACGGTCTATAATAGCGTTTTTAACCTTCGCCAACAAAAAGTATGCGAGGAACTTTAAAATTGATCATACTTCCAGTAAGACATTTGTTTATTATTATATAAAGAAGTTTTCTGGAAAATTATAGATCAATTTGTTCCCGGCAGATTTTTTTTCTGCGAAGGTCAATAAAACGCTATTATCGACCGTTCTCTATTTACAATTAATTATTATAAAACAATTAATTTTTTTTTATTTTTCATTATATTTTCATTTTTAATTGACTTGAAGGCGCATGTATACCAAATCTAAACTAAATTGATAAATATTTAACGAAGATACGACAATTTATCTTTTAAAATTAAATGAATTTTGAGAATTTTTATTCGACAGTTTTTCTTAATTATTAACTAAAATATACGTTGTACAAAAATAATCAGAGGAAAAAAAGATGCGCCTTTTGATTTCTTATAAGGTAGTAGGTTTTAAAAATTCATAATTACTAATTTTATTTTTTTTTCACTTTTTCATACCTCTGACTGGCATTGGAGCATGTGCCCGAGCGCTCGGCGAGTACTTCCCGAGGCCTCAATTACAGATATTCATCTTTTCTATAAATGATTCAAATTATCAAGCTTTATTATAAAAAAAATTGTTATTAATTTAAAAATTATTTTGACCAAATTTCAATAAATAAATAAATTCTTTTACTCTTTTTAAAAAATAATATTTCTTATTTTTTTACAGTCACCGACGAAAATAATTCTGAGACGGAGAATGAACCAAATTCAGATGAAAATAATACGCTCCGTCAGAATGTTTGCTGCATTTGCCGGGATCGTTCCTCAGTATTTTGTTTTGTCCCATGTGGACATCTTAACATTTGCGATGGTTGCCACGAGCAATATTCTACTTTGCCAGAAAGGCAATGTCCAATGTGCAGAGCAGAATATACGCAAATCATAAGAGTTTTCATGTAAAATTGAAGAAAAATTTGTATTATAGGGTCATTCTATTGTATTTCACCTGAAATACATGTAGCCGCAACGACTTCAGGTGAAATATAATGTTCCTATAAAATTAAGAGTCTTTTCGAAATATTATATTTTTTAACAATACCACAGTCCTGCAAAAATTTAACATAGCCATTATCGTGAATTTTTTTGTACTATTTCTAAGCTTCAAAACCAATTTTTGAAAATTGTTTTATGATTTTTTTTAAATGTTGCAGGCCTGTATAATTCATATATGTTTTATAAATAAAAAACAAATGACATAAATAAAATCATTATTTGTAAATTTATTTAAAGCAATTAACCTGTTTAACAATAAGAATCATTGATCATGAGGCCTAATTTCACATTTTGAATTCAATTTTTAATTTTCACACATTCAGAATCTAAATTCGTTTTTATTTTTTTTTAATTTAAAGATTCGAAAATACATAGAGTAGGGTTTAAATAGTTATTTTTAATTCGATTCATTCCACTTCCCAATTGGATAAAAAAATTGCACAGAATAAATTCTACCAACATCTTGTAAAAAATTAAATAATGTAAAATTACATATTAATCTTATTTAATGTAACTTAATTTTAATTAAATTAAATGAATTTAAGAAATATTAGAATGTTTTAATTTATATTGATATGCCATCAATTTGATATTTACAATTTTCTATTTAATTATTTCCAATAAATATCTAAAGTACCCCTGTCTTTTATTTATTAAATAAAGATTAAATGAGAACGGAGTTTGTGTTTACACGTTGAACCGATCGGACGTGTTTTTGACTCGCTCCGACCGTTGGTTTCTTAAATGTTGATTTCTGTCAAATCATTTTAATTTTACGTGTAATTAATAAGTGAAATAAATTTTGATTAGACTTCTTTTTTCTATATTTCTCCGTGTGTGAGTAGTGATCATTAAAATACTAACAATGGATTCGGATCCGGAAATTAAAATTTTGCTAATTTCAATACAAAATGAAGTGAAGCAAACTAATGTGAAATTGAACACTATGGACATGGATATTAAAGAGCTGAAAGTCTCAAAGGATCATCTGAAGAAGGAAGTTAAGCTGAACAAAGAAAAAATGCGAATTCTTGAAAAATCTAACATATCGCTAAGAGAAAGAATTTTGGAAAATGAAAAGAAACTCGATTACTTGCTGAATAAGGAAAGAGCCAACAACATTGTGCTTTACAAAGTTCCTGACTCACCAGACGAAAACAATGACTTACTCAATACAGTCAAAGGCATATTTATCAAGGCAAATGTCACGTTAGATGATAACAAGATTTTGTCGGCTTCAAGACTCGGCAATCGAGAGGGATCAAGACCAATTTTAGTCGCATTCGCTGATTATAAATCCAAATCCGAAATTTTTAAAAATGCAAAAAATTTTGGTGCACTGAAATTGGGCTTTTCTAACGATCTATCCAAGAGGCAAAGAGAAGAGAGAAGAAAGAATTATGAAATTCTTTTGAATTATAAAGAAAGTATGCAGAAAGAGGGGAAACAGGCAACCATCAAGGGTACCAAGATCTTGGTTGATAATACCTTGTTGACCTTGGGAGAGGTTAAATCAAAATTAATATTTGACGAAATACCTGAGGTTCAGTTCAAGGTTGGAGATGACTCAGACAGTGATTGTTCTTCTATTTCCAAAATTTCAACGGATAGTCGTAAAAGAGGAAGGAAACCAGGAAGCAAAAATAGAGTGGACAAAAAACAAAAGTTTTTGAAGCCATCTTCTACAGCAGTAGACATGAAGACCTACTTCAACCCCAAAGTTGACCCAGGGGGGGAGATGAATGACACCCCACCCCTGAAGAGTACATAGCTATCTAAGGATCTTGCAGAGCCCCGAGTTTTGTTTTGGAATGTTAAGGGCTGGAATAATTGGACTGACTTAAAATCGACATTGAACGAGACAGATATTGTGTGCATCTCCGAAACCTGGCTTACTAATGCGCCGCTTAGTTGTTCACCATTCAAAGAGGGGACCATCTTCAGTCCTGCAACCAAAACCGCAACGCCTTTGAAGAGCCAGTGGAGGACTTCTCATCTGCTTCGACAACAGTAAATATAAGTCAGAAACAATTAAAGTTACTAAGGAATTTATTTTTGTCAGATTAAAAAATGAGAATGTTGACATTATTCTGGGAGCGGTTTATATTACACCAGAAAAAAATATTGATATATTTGTAAAGGAACTAGATGAAATTTTTACTTTAATTAAAAATATATATCCGAATTTGCCCCTAATTTGTGGAGGGGATTTTAACACCAGAATTGCCAATCTTAATCAATTAGAAGATGAAATGCTCCCAGAAGGTGTCAATATTTTTTGTAATAGGGAAAATAGAGATGATTTTTTAAATAGAAAAGGAAGAGTTTTGGTCGACTGCATGGAAGAGAATGGATGTTTAATTCTTAATGGAAGAACCCTCAAGGACTTCCCGGCTAATTACACTTATACTAGTAATGATAAAAAAACTGTTATTGATCTAGCTTGGATTAATTGGAATGCAATTAAAGAAATAAAAGAATTTGAAGTACTTCATATTGTTACTAAATCAGATCATTTTCAAATATCAATAACCCTTACTAGTATGCATAAAGTAAATAAATTGATTAATATTGGGAAAAAAACAACTAAATGGAAAGATGAGTTTACAGAAGAATTTATAAAAGTAATGGATTCGACTCCATGCAGTTTCCCCGACTCTTCTTCGATTGCTCAATTGGCTGATAATTTAATAGAAATCATAAATAAAAATGCAGAAAAAGTAGGAATGATATCTGTTTACAATGCAAAAAATGAAATGTCAAAACCGTGGTTCGATCGAGAATGCGTAATAGCAAAGAAGAATCTTAATTTATTTCTCATTAAATGTAAAAAACTTAATTTTGAAGAAAATTTGTCGTTTGAATATAATGAAAAGAAAAAAATGTACTTTAATATTTTAAAATCTAAAAAAAGGGCTCATAAGTTTCATACATTGGATTTGCTTGCTTCGACTAAGGATTCTGGAACTTTTTGGAAAATTGTTAATAATTTTAGATGGAAATTTGGTCATGTTGATAATATCAATTTACAGGAATGGTTTGAGTATTTTCAGAATTTTTTGAAACCGGAAATTGTTAATAGTGAATTGAAGATATGTGAATTTCAAAACAAAGTGTCTAATTCCATATTGGATGCTACAATTGATTGTCACGAAATTATATCGGTAATTAAAAAAACCAAATATAATAAAGCCTCCGGATCCGATGGAGTATCGTATGAATTTTATAAAAACTTGCCTGCTAAATGGATTGTGTACGTCTGCTCCCTCTTTAATAAAATATCGGAAAAGGAAACTTTCCCTGATTCTTGGGCCACTATTTATTTAAAAATGATTTATAAGGGAGGGGATAAACTAGATCCAAGTAGTTATCGGCCAATAGCCTTGATCAATAACTTGACCAAAATATTTACAATGATTATGAACGAGAGAATGACAGAATGGACAAATCAAAGTAATTTAATACCAGAATTTCAAACAGGATTTAGGAAAAACCGAAGCTGTCTGGACAATATTTTTACGTTAAATGCAATGGCACAAATTAGACTAAAAGAAAAAAAGGGAAATTATTTGTGCTATTTGTAGATTTTCGAAACGCGTTTCCATCAGTCCCGCATAAGTTACTTTGGGAAAAATTATATAAATTAGGCCTCGGTAGCAAGGCAATTAATATTTTAAGTAACTTTTATTTAAAAGCTAATGTTTCTGTCAAGAACAGCTCGGGGATTTCTAAGTCGGTGAAAGCTACTAAGGGGGTATTGCAGGGGGAAGTTACGAGCCCTCTGTTGTTTTCTTTATTTTTGGCCGACTTCGAAAAATTTTTGAAAGCCGAGGGAATCAGGGGCGTTTCCTTAGACCACTTAAACGAAATAATTTTACTTGCCTACGCCGACGACATCGCTTTATTGGCTGACTCACCAAAAGAAATGAAAAAAATATTAATTGCGCTTTATAAATATTGTAAAACTAATGGATTAGAAGTTAATGTCAATAAAACAAAAATTTTAATATTTCAAAAAGGTGGTCACCATCATAATAAAAAATACGAACCTTATTTGTATGGCGATAATGAAATAAAAATTGAGGTAGTTAAATCCTATAAATACTTGGGAGTTCTCTTCTCACAATCGGCAACTTTTGTTAACGCGTCTGAGGCTGCTATTACTAAAGCTAATTTAGCATCTGATTCAACTCGTACGATAATAAATAAAATTAATCCCAATTCCTGGTCGATGGTTCCAAAAACTTTCAATGCTTTGGCTACTAGTTCCTTATTGTACGCCGTTCAAGTTTGGGGACTAAATTATTTAGACGACATTGAGAAGGTGCAAACCAATTTTTACAAGAAAGTATTACATGTACCAAACAACACACCTAATTATGCTATTAGATTAGAAGTAGGCACTCATAAATTGTCTTCAAAAGTTTTCAAGTTAATATTAAATATGATAATTAGAATAATGAAAATGGAAAACAATAGATATCCAAAATTGTGTTTTTATCGACTGATGCATTTGTACAAAACAACAAAAACTGTTAAGAAAAAATTTAATTGGTTCAAACAATTGGATCAATTTTTTGAATTCATAGGCGAAAATAATATTTTAAATGATTTAACCAGTGATTATTTAGAAATGAACAAAGCCAGATTGATAAAAGCATATGAAGCCTTTTTGTACGCCGAAGACATTAACAGTCTCGAGAACTCACAGTCTCTGCAAATCTTGCCTCATCTTTGTATGAGAGATGGATGCCAAAACTATCTAAGATTAAAAATTCCATTAATATACTTTAGATTAATTGCACAAATTAGATTAATAAACAATTATAATTCAAGAATAATAACAAAAGATAAAGTATATAAAATTGATTCATCTCAGAGTTGCACAGCCTGTGAAGAGCGATCGA